GCCAAGGGATCCCATGATGTCCACAGGGACCCGAAGGAATAACATGGCCCTTGGTTATGGCAACCCAAGCAGCTCTGCAAAGTGCAGTCATTTCTTCTCCCTAAGGAAGAGCTGTGCCAGCAGCTGGCTACTCTGAAACCCTGCTGCCAGACTGGACTCCTGAGGTGCAGCACTGGGATGTGGTGAGTGCCCCTTGTCCTCCCAGGTCAACTGTCCTCAGCTTCTCAGGGCAGCTGGTGGTGGTATCTCATGGACCTGCATGTTTCTGCAATAAGGCTTCAACTATTCAGCTCTCCTCTGGATGACTGCGGTCCTCCTCTGCTCACAGCAAGCTGCTCTTGGAGACTTTAAATGCTTGTTATTTAATCAAAGTGCTCTCTGTGAAAAGATACAGGAAATGTCCATCTTAGCTGTTTCTCCTACTTTCCCTTCCTATAAATTCCAGCTCCATGATTTCTCAGTGTCTAGCTGGGAAGAGCTTGTGTTTTCCAGACAGTGCCATTTGTTCATTGGAAAATTTTGATCTGGCACATCCTGTGTTCACGCACTACCCACTGCAGTGTCACTGTCTATGCCTGGAGAAGACTTAATGTTTACACAAAGGATTGAACCTGTCCCCCATGCTCCGTGCAAGCCTTGGGAGCTAATCAAACAGGAGCCTTTCTCCAAAGGTCTCCTTCTCTTGTGCCAAATAATCAAAATCCTCTTTCCTTGCCTTGCCAACAGGGTATGTCCAAGCGTGTCGAGCACTGATGATCGCTGCTTCTGTCCTGGGTCTTCCCGCTATCTTCTTGCTGATAACAGTCTTGCCCTGCATCCGGATGGGCCACGAGCCTGGAGCTGCCAAGTACCGGCGGTCCCAGCTGGGAGGGATCCTCATCATCCTCCTGGGTAAGGTGCCCGCCATGTCTGGAGGGCTGGAGATCTTCCTCTGCTCCAGGAGGGCATGATGCAAGCTGGTTGAGCATGTTCACCTAAAGGATGGTTGTCAAGGCTGGGCTGACCCTGAAGCTCTCCAGCATCACTGCAGTCTGTGGGGTGAACAAAAGGCATGAACAGGAGCGGGAGGACAAAGACAGAAGGCAGGGAGTGAAGCAGGGGAGGGCTATGAATGCCTACTGTGCGTTGTCTTGTGGAGTCCTCAGGTAGTGCCACAGGCACTGATTTTGCTGGTTTGCTGTGGAAGCCATGCTATTTTTGGAAAGTGTCTAAACTTCCAAGCTGCTTACAGGGAATGGATAACCTCCAAATTTTCCCTGAGCATTGCAGATAGCTAGGCCTAAGTGGGAACAGCAGAGGAGAGAGCAAGGAGGTGGCATGGACCTGGGAAGAGGGATGGCATGTCCCCTGTGCTTCCCAACCCCCTCTGGACAGCCTTGCTCTAAGCCTCCAAGTTTCCCTGGGAATTTCTTCCCGTCAATAATGCTTGTGGAAGAGCTTGTTTTGAGCAGCACAGACTGTGGAGCTCATTGTCCCCAGTGCAACACCTGCATGTTCTTGAAGCCTCGTCATCTCAGCAACAGGCTGCGGTGCCTTGTTTTTACCCGTCTGTGTGGCAGAGGAGGAGGGGTGAGGGAAAGTGGCCTCTTTGTGTGGCTCTGCTGGTTGCTGGCAGCCAGCACTGACATCATACCATCTTCTTTCTTCTTCTTCTCCTTATTTTTCTTCAAGTGGGCACTGGATATAGCTGCATGCTCAGAGGGGCTGTCCTCTGGATGCTCCTTCCTTGCCAGCAGTCCCTCCTCTGGTGCCTTGGTGAGAAACAGTATGAGTCAGTACATCTGAAATTTAAGGGACTGAGATGAAGGGGCCCTTTCAATGCCTGTGGGGTATAAGGGCAAGTTGCCACAACTGGAAGTCCTAAAGTCAGCTTTATAGGGCCTGACATCCTGATCATGAACAGTCATGTTAAAGAGCTGTTGGAATGTGACCATCCCTGTCCCAAAGCCTTGAGTTGCATATTTGGGCTTAGCAAAGTGAATTTCTGCCTGTGATTGAAATTTTAGTGCTGGAGGAGTCTGCTCTGCTACTAGGTAGATTCTGTGAGGAAAGAAATCATGTATTTAGAGAGACATTGGCAGATGAATGGTCTTTGGGTTGGATTTGGACTTCTTACTGATATTTGCCAATGTGAGTTTTGAAGCATCTAGAGGTGAAGTGATTTGCTCATGTTGCTGATGTCCTGAGAGATGTGGGCTGGGAACATCAGCCTGGTCGCAATGTTTTAGTCACCATTACAATAATGCTTTTCTGTCAGATCACAAATAAGAATAAATAAGCTCCTTTTGCTCTTAAGGTTTTTTTTTTTTTTGGTGTGAGGTGTTTTTTTTGGGTTTGTTTTGGTTTTTTTTTTTTTTTTTTTTTTTTTTTTTTTTTTTTGTTGTTGTTGGTTTTTTGTGTGTGTAGGTTTGTGGTTTTTTGTTTGGGTTTGGTTTTTTTTTTTTGTTATGGTTTGGTTTGGGGTTTTTTATTTTTTTTCTTTGAAAACCCAAACCAACCCAAATTTATTTTTACAACCCCCACATTTTTCCAGGCTGATCAGCAAAACAGGCCCTTTGGGGAATAATGGACAGAGCTTGGGACTTTGACATTATATAAGTTGATTAATGATCTGTTATTTGCAAAATGAGGTGCTACCATTCCAAAGCATCTAATAAGCATGAATCAGGCTTCAAAAGACATAATACTGACTTAAAATTCACTATATTCTAGAAGTAATATGCCCTGGGCTTCTCTTATTTACCCTCTGGCCACTGAACTCTCATTTGTGGTTTTCCACAACCACACGGGCTCCAGCCTTTTCCTCGAAGTGGAGACCAACTCCCAGAGCACTGGCTAAATGAGAACAAACCCCAAAACACTACGAAAGCAGAAACAGGGAGAGGAGATGTGATCAGAGGAGCTGGGCCCATGGCAAACTTCACTTGCTGCTCAGGGGAGGGATGGCGGTTTATTATTGCAACGTATTAAAAAGGAAAACAGGGGTTGAAACACAGCAGGGAGCCAAAAAAAAAAAAAAAAAAAAAAAGTTGAAAACTTGCCAGGAAAACAATGGCCTCAGATATTCCATTGATTTTTCTGTCTACTGATAATAGCAGGCTGCAGAGTGCAACCTGTGTGCAGACCCTCCTATCCTGCCTGCTGATGTATTTATGTCTTTACTTGATCCTATCTGTCCGAGAGAATTGATTTATTGCCGAAAACAGCCATGAGCTGAGGTTTGCTCTGAGCCAGTATGAAAACATTTCATATACTAGTGTTGATGGAAAAACCCTGGCCCATCCTGTGTTGTTGGTACTAATTCGGGAGGACCCCTTGCTGGTAACCAAGCAGACAGTTTCCTAATGGAGATGAAGGACTCGAGACACTGGAAAACAGATTAAAAATATGGTAGTTACTGGGAGTTACTGCTGCAAAACAACCATATTAGCTATTGTATACTAAATAAAGGATATTTACAAGGCTTTCTGGATACTGCATGACATTTGCTTGTAAAACCATAGTGATAAAAAGATTGCCTTAAATATAAGAAAAAATATCATGGATATCTATTATTTCAACCAGATGCTTCAAAAGAGAAATCTGTGTGACTCTGAGTCAGCAGTTCAGAATAATTAAATATAACTGTGAAGAAAAGTATTCTCTCTTCTGCAGAAAGCCTTTTATTTACTGTTAAGGAATTTGACAGGGACTCACTGTCCACTGAGTTAGAGTAATCCTGCTCTACCTCTCCCACCTCCCCAAGCACTTTCTGTGCTTTTGTCTATATGTGCTTCCATCTGATTCAAATATGCCTGTAATGTAGAACATTAAGAGTTTCAGCTCAACGGGTTGAGCTACTCCAAGTCCATGGTCAAAAAGGACTTAGAAATGCTGGAAGCCTGAGATGTATCCCTGTGGATTCACAGTGATCTGATGGAGCAAGGTTAACCATACCACGTGTTGCTGAGATGACTTTTGCAGGTAGCAGCAGTGGCTTTTACAGGATTGCCTACTCTAGCTGCATAAAGCAGGCAAGCTTTTCAGTATGTGTGTGCCCCAAACCATGCCTGGTTTTCCAACTAACCTTCTTTGTCTAATAGAAAATATTCTTTCTGTTTGCAGGCCTATTACTTCTCTTCTAGACAGCTCTACTACCTGAAGATGTTCTTAGGTAGAGAGAGGCAAAGGGTGTCTTGGCATTAGTACAAGAGAGAAGGGGTAATAATTTCTACTCTAGCACCTTTGCCATGTAGGCAGCTATTTTAGGACACAAAACTTGCCTTAAAATGCCTTTTCTAATCCCTTTGGGTTTCCCGGTGAATGAACCTTTTTTCAGCCTTCCCCTCTGATGCAGCCAGACCAAAATTTGAGTTCACCAAGAACTGTCGCAATTGCAGACTGTCCTTTTCACATCTTCTCGGACAATTTACAGCCCAATCTAATCTGTGCAGAGCGAGGAAATCGGGTCCTGTTTCAGGGTATTCCTCCTGCTGAGCAGTGGGGTCATTGGTGTCTGACGGCAGCTGGTAGCCTCCAAAGACAGAGGTCAAACTAACCCATGCAAAGTCGTAGGCTTGTGTTTCACAGCTTTCTAGTATTGTCAGCATTAAAATAAGGTGGTTTTACATGTAGTTGAGCCACAGGCACAAGAGATGCCATTGTGTTAGTGTCCCTGAGAGCTCCTTGCACTCCAGTGTGTTTTCTTCAGTCCTGTGTTGTGGGAGAAAGTCTGGATAGATAAGGCTCTTATAGTCTATGGGCGTAAATATAAATATATATATATATATTTTCTGCTGACAGAAAAAGAAAAGATGATTGTGTTTTTTTGTGCAACAAAGACGCTTTTTTCCCGGAGCCCATTATAGAATGCTTTGTGGATTCACAACTGATACATTTTTGTTTAAATTGTTCAAGACTCATGAGCGGTTTGCAGAACAGATCCACATGCAAGAGAAATGCTGTTCTCCCATCCCTGCCTTCTCCAACAATGCCTTCCAAAGCTGCGGGGCCCTTACTTTGAGGAGGTCCCAGATTATTACTGGCTTTATTAGCATCCTTCAAATGTTCCTCTCTTTTCCATAAGAAAATATTTTCTGTCACAATAACTGCAGCTATTGGGAAAGGGTTTTCTGCTGTACTGGCCAGGCGCTCTGGTTTGTTCTCTGCTTTAACTAAACAGTTTTTATTTTTAATCTCATCCCTTTTTATTCCCCTCTTGCAACCTTAACTTTTTGACACTGTCTCCAGATACCTTTTAACGCGGTCGGTGGAAATCTGTAACACTGCCGCAGTCCTGTTATTGTTTTGCTCTGATTCTCTGATAGCCACAAGGATGGAGTCCTGCACAGCTTGTCCCAGAGGCAAGTAAATATTGACAGATTAATTCTTCTCGGATGTACAGGCCATAAAGGAGTATTGTTTTAGGACCTGCTTCTGTGAGGTTATTAACAGCATCAACTCCTGTTGCCCCCAGTACATGTGGGGACTTTGCAGGATGAAGGTAGGACCCGCAATGAGGGTAGCAACTGTGACCTTGTGTAGCACAAGGCAGGGCATGTGCTTTCTCCCTTCTGGAGCAAACTGCGCGTACCGCACTCTGAAACGCTGCTGTTCCCAGCCTGGCTGCCTGCAAAGTGCCATATTTGAACCTGCTTTTACTGTCCTAAGGGTTTCTCCTTCACTTGTCACCTGCCTAGCAGTCCTCACAGCACCACTGTGGCAGCCTTCCTGTTTTTCATGGAAAAACCTGTGGGATTTCAAGCAGAGTTGAAGTCTGCAGTCATCTTTTGACCGCTGTTGACTCTAGGTAGAACACTGTTTTCCCTTCAAGTCCAATTCTATTCAATTCAGTAGGGTTTTGGATAGCCTTGCTGGATTTGTCCCGATCACTTGGTATAGAGAAATTTTCCATAGGGAAGTGGAATCTGCTTTCAGAGTTGTAAGACACTTCTTTCTCCATACAAAATATCCAACAATGCTGTACTGATGCTTATTTTGTCCCTGCCCATTTTCTACTTGTATTTTATAAACCCCTCTCTACCTAGGTAAGTGCTGCTATATTTTGTTAACATTTATGTGACCATCCAGTAGAGCAACTGCAGTGATGCTGATTGACATGAGCTGAGGGCATAACATGGGAATTCATGCAGAAACAGTGATTTAAACCAGTGGACTCTGAGCCACTGATTTTACTCACTGATGCATACAGCTTTCATGGTCTTGCTTCATATCTAATCTATTCCTAATTCTGCAGCTCTTCATAGCATCATTTTCAGGGATGGCTTTCATTCTTCCCTTCAAAGATATTTTTAGGGAACAAACCTGTTTCCCTTGTAATAAATTTATCAGATTGTGCAAGCAGTAGTTGTTTTTTCTTCTTGTTTGTTGGTGCCTGAGAGGGATGGCTGTTCTCTCTTGATCTCTCCCCTCTCTGACCAGGCTCCCACACTGCCTCCTGCTCAGAGATTTCTTGGAACAAGTCCTGATGCTGATGCTCCTGGGTCCCACCATGGGAGTGGAAGGGAGGAGGGATGGGTTTCCTCTCTGTCCCCTGTCCTGCAGAGCCTTCCTTACCCTTTGGCGTGCTTTGTGTCCCCGTGGTGGGGTTACGTGCTGGCATTACCTTTCCTTTCCCTCTCTCGCCAGCCATGTGTGGTGTTGTTGCGACGATCTGGTTTCCCGTGTGCGCCCACCGTGAGACCACCATTATGAGCTTTGGCTACTCCCTGTACACGGGCTGGATCGGCTCTGCCCTCTGCCTCTTCGGTGGCTGCGTCATTGTCTGCTGCTCGGGAGATGCCCAGACGTTCGGTGAAAACCGCTTCTACTATGCCTCGGGATCCAGCTCCCCGACCCATGCAAAGAGCGCGCACGTGTAAGCATCCTGGGGATGTCCCACGGCTGCTGTCGGATGCTTTGGCTGGTGGGTTGGTGTGCCCTGGGTCTGCTTCTACTGACACACGCTGCTGTCAGGCTCCCAGGGGAAGATTTAGAAAAGCAGCACAAATGTCTGGTAGTTTGAAGCATTATTCTCCCCATCTGTTCCCCCCTTCTCTAGAAAGAAAGCTGCAGCCAGCCCTACCTCTTGGTCCTCCCCCTTTTGTCCTGACCACTTGCCCCATCTTCTTGCAGCCAGCATGACTCAGATGGTTTGGGGTTGTTACGTACGTCTTAGGGCTTTTATTTTATTTTCTAGCTCCCCTGATAAAAGAAGAGTTTAAAGCAATAAAACAGGAATGAGAGAGACACTTTCCCATTGTTAGAAGGACTCTGGGAGCTTCTCCCACCATGTCAGTATTTGATTTCCCCTGTTCAAGGTCACTGCTTTGGCACGGTTTGGGTGAGAGGGTAGGGAGGAAGGCTGTACTCTCCTACTGGGAAAATGTTTCACTTTTGGAACAAGAGTAGGGGGATTTTTCTGCCTTTCTCTGTAAATACTTTTGTATGAGTTTGTTCATTTTAGTAACGGTTTTTCTCCCCACCCCCACGGTCATCAGTATGAAGGAAACAGAACCCAAAGGTCCTAATTACATGGTAGATAACAGTGCCTTTCTATATAGTTTTAAATGACTCTGGGGGCTCTAATCCCCATCCTCTGGTTTGGTTTCTTTCTTTCCTTCGTACAGATAAGTTACTAAAAATGTATTTTTACTTTTCTTTTTTGCTTTCTTCCTCTAAATTTGTGTTCTGCCTTGCATCATTAAAGTAGCACATTTTAACACACAGTATAATGTACCTGTTACAATACAATTCTGGTGAATACTGATGATGCCTTTGTACTTCCAGTGAAATACTGTACAATAAATAACAGAGTACCTGCAACCACTGGCTTCTTTTTTTTCCTTCCTTCCTGTGTGTTTCTATAGCTAGCTTTTCCATGGCAGAGGTTTCCCAATGATTTTGAAGATATCTATATATATATAGATATATAGATAGATAGATATTTAATAGCAGTTCAGGTGAGAGATTCTGCTCTGCTGTGGAATTAAGTTGGCCTTTTGTTTTGTTCTTTTTTTGGTTGTTGAGTATTTAAAATATGAGTAATCTTCCTGCATGGTACTGACCGCTGCCTTACCCATTTATTCTTTCAATGTTCCCAGTAGCAGCTTGCAGCAGTGGTACTGACTTGTGGTACTCTTCATACTGGGGAGACCTAGAAACCCACTGAGTTCGTGGAGAGGTACCCCCAGCCTGCTTGGGCATGCTGAAGCAGAGAAGTCATGATGCTGGAGGTGCTTTCAACTAAACTAAGAGTCTGATCTGGGGTCACCACTCAGATTAAAATTGTGTAAGGTCAAGATCTAACTCTGTCTTTACCAGAGGCTGTAGCAATTTAATTACGTTGATACAAAATCCCATCTGTTGCTGGAGATGTTAACTCAGTTCAAATAATTTGTGTATGCCAGGCTTCAGGAGAAGGAAAAGAGGAATAGCTGTGCTTCAGGTGAGGACAAGGGGGATGTGTGTAGGAGGAGAGGGGGTTGAGTGAGCAGAGGGGAGGACCTACCAGACTGTTTGGGGTAATGGAGAAGAATATGAAAACAAGGCTGCTGTCAAACCTTGGTGGAAGGTCTGCTTCAGCTGGAGAATCCAGACTGGGTGGCACATCCATGGGCAAGGATGCCACAGCTCCCACCTCTCTCCTCCTCTGTGTGGGAATCTGAGGCTGGAGCTTTCAAAAGGAGTCAAAAGAAGGATGGCTGTGCTCCTCGATGGCTCTTTGCCTGCACAGATAAGAGATGGGCAGCAGCCCTAGCATCTGTCTTTAATGCTGAGCAGCCTTGAACGCGTCTCTGTTGTGTGAACTTTGCATTGCTGCTGTCCTATACAATGTACCCAAGGCAGGCAGCGGTGCAGGGCTGGTGGCAGGACACTTGTGCCCATTACATCACAGGCAGGGCACAGGCAGTTGTTGTATGCGCTGGAGGGATGCTGTAAGTGCTGCCATTGATGTGGGGGTGCCACGGGCGAAGGGGTGGCGCACAGACGTGCCAGCTTGTGCAGGCTG